AAGAGCGGGAGTTCTGAGGATTCGGCACCCAGCACCCTCCCTCCTGCGAACGGGCTCCACTGGCCGCCTTGATTTCCTCCCCGGCCTCAGGGCCTTTGCACACACTCCTCCCCTGGGAAGGCTCTACCCACAGACGCTCAGCTGACCTGCCCCCTCGCTTCCTTCCGGTGCCCCTTGGCCCAGTGTCACTCTCCCTTCCCACCGTGTTAAAAGTGGTAACCTGTCTGCTCCCTGACTTACACCTCTCTCCATGACACTAATTCAGTCTGATACAGTATGGATTTCACTCATTTATGTTTTTTCTCCCCGGCCCCTAGAATGTGAGTTCCATTACCAAGCTCCTGAAATAAAGCCTAGCACACACAGTAGGTGCTCACTCATTATTTGTCACATGGATGGGTTTTCCTGTGAAGTTAGCTTTTGCTAAGCAGGGTAAGTGTTAAGTTAATGTCTGTCTGTACAGGTGTTCAGATTCTGAGTCTCTGGGCCGGACCAGAACCCTTTGCCCACGTGGTAATGAGCCTGCTGCCCCGCCGTATCCAGCCCCACCAGTCCAGCCAGGGCGGCTTTCCTGCCCTCCCGGTGCGTGACGGCGCACAGGCTCCAGCGGGTGGGGTCCCCAGGGGGCAGCTGCGGCCCAACAACAGGTCTGTGCGACTTACGCCGTGACAGGTGGGCCCCGCCTGACCTGGCCGTGAGTCGCCCTGTTTCTCTGGGTGATCCCACCAGCGGCAACATCCACCAGCCAGTGGCTCCATCAGGACAGTGGGTGGCCATGCCCAGCTGTCCCCAGCACTTAGCACCACGCCTGGCGTGGTGGACGCAGCTCTCTTAAGGAAGGGTCTGCCGGTTTCAGTCGGGATGTAAATATTCCCGCCCTGTTTTCAGGCTGCTGGCGGGACGGTATGCACTTCCTGGCGCTCCTGGAACTGGACGGACCCTCGGGAGGACATAGCCCGGCCCGGGGGTGTTGCACACGCCAGGAAACGGGGGCGGGAGGGGATTCTGGCCAAGAAGCCAGGTCTGGCTTCTGAGGAGGCTGTGGGGCCTCAACCGCAGGGCTGGGAGGGGAAGCGCTCCGGGAAACGGGGACCACTGGACGGGGCCCCTCCAGGGATGGCCCGGGAGTTTGGCTGTCTCGGCGGGAAGACTTGGGGCCGTGTTGTGAGTGTCGGGAGCCCCGCGGCGTCTGGGTGGAGAAAACGAGGACCGGGTGGCACTTGCGGCAGGTCAGCATCACCACCCAGACCTGGATTCATAAAGGGCTCTCCCCTGGGGGTCGTCTCTCGTGACAACGCCCACCGTTCCTTCCCCGCGGGTCGGAGGACACCTGGAGGCGACTCTGATGGAGGCAGAGAAACAGCTCCCGACACTGGAGCAGGAAGGCGGCTTGTGTGGGATGAGGGGATGGAGGGCCGGTTCCCAGCGGACCCTCAGGGCCCAGGAGGGAGTGATGACCTCTGCGTCCCTGGTCCGCCGAGCCTCGGGGAGGACTGCCTTTGGCCTGTCTCAGGTGAGATGTCCAACCCCAGCTCATTACCCATGGCTAGAGGGGTGGGTCACATCTCACGACGGACTGCTGGAACCCTACTCGGTCATGCCCACGACTGAGGGGACCACCACTCCCAGCTGCCCACAGACACCACTTGGGAAGCGGGTGGGAGCCCAGCCCAGGCTGGGGCAGCACTCCCCAGCGGGACCTGAAGGCAGGCCGAGGGTGGCCTTGCCAAGGGCCGGAGAACAGCCCAGCTAAGGCCCCGGTGGGTAGGACCAGGCCTGCCAGCCCCCAGCGTGCCTGCAGCTTCACCGGGGAGGGGATGCAGCGAGACGAGAAGCACAAACGCCAGGGTCAGGAAGGAGAGGACCTGGGGGTCGTGAGGGACCACTGCCCGCAGCTCACGCTCAGGATTTAGGGCTTAGAAGTGAAGCATCCCAGTTCTTGAGCTCCAGGAGGTATCTCTACACGCACCTGTGTCCCCAACTTCTCGGCCTCACAGAAAACAAGGGCTTCGGAACAAAAAGGGAGCCCACAAGTGCGGGGCAATTCTGGACGGAGCTGGGACTGGGTGCATCCGAAAACCCTGTCAACCCAGGCAGGGCTGCTGACCGTGGTGGGGGGAGGAGACCCCAGTGTCAGGCGCTGGGGACAGTTCCCCGCACTAAGTGCCGTGCTCTGCGGGATGGGCCTGGACCCCCAGGACGTGCAGTTGGCATTGCTTCTGTGGGACCTGGTGAGGCAAGGGGAAGCCTGGGGCCGGCGCCCGCTATCTCGGCCCCTGTCCCAGTTCCGGGGCCCCCCAAACCACGGGCACAGAGACCCAGCCCACCTCTCCGTGGGACCGCCAGCCCCCCGGGTCGCCAGGCCTGGGTCACACGCCGCCATTCCCCATGTGGCCAGCAGGGGCCGCTGTGGCTGCACACAGCGCACACGGGCCCAAGCACACATAAACACAGCACCCAAACGTACGTACATGTACACACTCATACACAGTCACACGCAAAGCGTGCACACATGTATGCACACACCTGCCCCTGCGGAGCCAGGCTGGTGGCGGGGGTTGGGGGGTGGAGCTGGACAAACCCCTTCCCAGGCCTCAGTCCTGGCACATGGGACCACTGACCAGATGCCGCTTCCCACTTCTGTGCCCAGCACAGCCGCCCTGGGCCGCCCGAGCCCCCTGCGGGTGATGCAGATGGAGACACTCCCTGAACTCCGTCCTGGAGGGCCCGAGCCCCAGAGCCTGGGAATGGCAGCAGGAGGGAGGGGACCCCTGAAGGGAGGGAAGTCTCAGCCCAGTGTGGGTGTGCAGAGGACCGACGGGGACAGACAGGGGACAGACGGCACAGGCCAGGGGACAGGCCAGAGGACAGAGGGGACAGACAGGGGACAGGCCAGAGAACAGACAGGGGACAGGCCAGAGGACAGACGGGACAGACCAGAGGACAGACGGGCAGGCCAGGGGACAGACAGGGGACAGACCAGAGGACAGATGGGACAGGCCAGGGGACAGGCCAGGGGACAGATGGGACAGACAGGGGACAGGCCAGAGGACAGACAAGGGACAGGTCAGAGGACAGACGGGACAGATGAGAGGACAGACGGGACAGGCCAGGAGACAGACAGGGGACAGACCAGAGGACAGACAGGACAGGCCAGGGGACAGACGGGACAGGCCAGGGGACAGGCCAGACAGGAGACAGGCCAGAGGATAGGATCTGGCCTCCTCACCCACCTCCCCTCCCAGACCTGAGGACAGGCCCATGCTGCTCATGGCTGGCCCTGCCCTGGACGGGTAGGCAGTCCACTAAGGGACACCACTTTAGCATATGAAGTAACATTCACAGGTTCTGGCATGAGGGACCTGATGCCCTCTGGGGCCGCCATTCAGCCCACCAGAGGCAGCCCTGATGTGTATACTTTTTGGGCCGCGCCGCGAGGAGTGCGGGATCTTCGTTCCTCGACCAGGGATCGAACCCGCATCCCCTGCAGTTGGAACGTGGAGTTGGAACCAGGCTGGCCGCCGGGCTGTGCCTCCTTTGGTGTTTAGGCCCCAAAGACGGCATTTCCGCTGGCCTACTCCTGGGGGCGCCTGGCCGGCCCGCAGAAGGGTCCCACCGCCAAGGACAGCGTGGCTCAGTCTGGCCTTGGAGGGAACATCCCAGGCTCCTCCAAGGCCCAGCGAAAGTGGCCTCCCCAGACGCGTGTGCAGCGGGGTCTCTGCCGTCTCAGGCATGGAGCAGGGTGTGTCGTCCCCCGCCGCCCGCTGGCCTGTATCCCGCTAGGCCAGAGGCTCTGCGGTGCCCCCAGGAGACATATGGCACCGTCTGGGGACATTCTTGGTTGTCACAACCAGTGGGGGAAGGGAAGCCCGACAAGAGGTGGGTGGAAGGCATGGCCGCTGTGACCCGCCTCCCAGGCTGGGACGCCTCGCAGCCCAGAGCAGTGGAGGCGGCCCGGCCCCTCCGATACACGGGCGGCCACATGCCTAAACGTTTCACGGCTGAGACACTTGATCTCAGGTCTCATCCTGCCAGCCGATACCCTCCCCTGAGGTTGCCGGCTCTCGGACGCCATCGACATTCAGGTTTTTTTTTTTTTTTTTTTTTTTTTTTGGCGGTCCGCGGGCCTCTCACTGTCGTGGCCTCTCCCGTTGCGGAGCACAGGCTCCGGACGCGCAGGCTCAGCGGCCACGGCTCACGGGCCCAGCCGCTCCGCGGCACGTGGGAATCTTCCCGGACCGGGGCACGAACCCGCGCCCCCTGTATCGGCAGGCGGACTCTCAACCGCTGCGCCACCAGGGAAGCCCCGACATTCAGTTTTTATGAACGGGGGGCACCAGGCCGGGCTGTGGGGTTTGTGGAACACATTTAATCTTTCAAGTAACTGAAGACTTAGTTTCAGTTACTCACATCTTCAGCAAAACCATCGGCCGTATTAAGTGATCTGCCGTCTGTGCAAACACCTCTCCCCACAGGACGGCGCAGGTGGCCCAAAGGAGGGTAGAGAAGAACGCGGCTTCTCGGACCCTCCGCCGGGGCCTGGGAACCAGCCACACGGGAAGGTCACAGCCGCCCCAGACCAGTGCGAAGGGAATTTCAGGCTGACAGTGAATAGCATCCCGTAGCCCAAGTGGGCCCTGGATTGTTTGCCGGGACGGTCCACCTCCCCGAGTCCTGTGTTTTCTCTGGCAGCCAAAGTAGGGGGAGCGCAGTGTGTCCACAAGTCAGCACGGGATGCACAGGTGGGCGGGGTGGCAGCCAGGATGACCAACCCCACTGTCAGCCTCTCTGGGCCGCGTGGCGTCTTCCAAGTCCTCCTTTGGGTCACAGCGGGGTCCGGGGGGCAAGGAAGCTGACCTGACTAGGAGGCCCCAGCCCGGCAGAGGTGGGCAGCGGAGGGCAGAAGTCATCTGCTCGAGGTCCACATGCTAAAAGAGCCCAAGGTCAGAGGTTGGGACAGAGCATTCGGGACAGGGTGGACTCTGCCCTCTGCCCCAACCCTGCCCTGGGGGCAAAGGGCCAGAGCCTTAGAGGCTGGAGACAGGAAGGAAGGTGAGCACAGCCCTGGAAGGGCGGGGCTGCGCATGGGGAGAGGGCAGGCCCCTGAGTCACCTCCAAATAGCACTGGGGGCTGCCAGCTGGGCGGGGGTCGTCCCCTCCACCCCCTGCACCCAGGCCACGGTGCGCACTCCACTGTCCCGAAGACTCACGTGGGAACTGGACGCCGCCCTCGAGACGGCTCCGGGTCACCCAGGCAGGCTTCACCACCGGCCAGGGTCACCCTGTGCCAGGGGCAGGGCGGCTGAGAGGTCTCAGAGCCACCTTCCCATGAATGACCCTCATCCCACCCCTGACTGGCGCCCTGATGCCCCTGTGCTGGCGAACCCTCTTCGGATGTCACCCCAGCCTTCCCAACAAGGGTGAAGTGAATTCACATTCGCGCACACCTCTGTCTACACCCGAGGCAGTGCTATGGGTCCGGCTGTGAGCCGCTCTTCCCGTCCCCTCCCAGGGATGCTGGGAGCCTCTGGTCCCTGAAGCGAAGGGCCCTGGCCTCCTGAACGACGCCGTGTGCAGGATAAATCTGTACGGGGGAGACCTGGGCAGAAGGAAAGAGTAGGGGGATGTGCAAACATGACCTGGGAAGTCACCCCTTTGCTGCCCCTCCAAGATGCGCTGGGCAGGGAGCGGACTGGGGGACCTGCAGAGTTGGGGGGGGGGGCAGACAGGTGGCAGGAGGGGCGCAGAGGCCAGAGGCCCCTGGTGGAAAGTGCCGGGATCTGCAGGGAGGCCTGGGGACCAAGGCGGAGGAGCGGGCCCAGCAAAGCTGGGCTGCAGAGACCTGGGCTTTGCTCCCTCGCCACAGAGCCTCTGCGCCAGCTGACGTGTGTGCCCAGAGGCCCCGAGCGGCTGTGCCGTCGGAGCCCTGGTGGTGGGCGCGTGGTGGCTAGAGGGGACCGCGTATACGCCCGAGCTGACGGACCGGCCCCCGAGCCCGCCCACTCGTGTTCTGCTCCCCGTGACCGGGTCACCTGCTTGCATGCCCACCACTATTGCTGACCCCCAGTAAAAGCTCTTCTTAAGAATAAGAATGAAAAGAAATAAATTAAAAAAAAAAAAAAAAGAATAAGCACGTTTTGTTACAAACTGGAGCACAGACGTGGGGCTTGATGAATCATTACAAAGCGAGTGTGGGGTAACGGCTGCCAGGCAGCGCCAGGCGCCCCAGCACCCAGAGCCCGAGGGCCACCCCCACAGCCCTGCCTCCTGCCTGGGAGCCGCCGCCGCGCCACTGTTCTGGAAGCATCTTCCCTGTGTGGTTCATCACTTTTCCTGGTGCGAGTTTTTCACATCCTTTATTCTGAGGGATCCTCCCCTGTCTCCCCAGATTTGCTGAGGAATCAGATCCTCTGACCTGCGACCCCAGGTCAGTCCAGCGGGTCACACCCACTTCTTCCCGGAGAGTCAGGGCTGCGGGACGGAGCCCAGGAAGCCGGCCAGCACCCTGTCCGAGAAGGGACCCAGGCCAGGAAGCAGGGCCCTCGTCCTTGGACAGTCTGTGCCGTGGGCGCAGAGGGGTCCTGATGGTCCGTGTGCGAGGGTTTGCCTTCCGTGCCCTCCTCAGGAAGGAGCCTGGGCTTGGAGCCAGCCAGACAAATAGCCCCACCTGTCCTGTCCCCACTGTCCCCACCACTTAATCCTCTCAGCCGCCTTGTCCTCGCCTGTGATGAGCTGCATGCCTGCGACATGGGACACCCCACCAACAGAGATGCCCTGCCCAGCGCTGTCCCTGAGAGCTCAGACTCCACCTTCGAGATGCTCTCTCCAGCCTCCCGGGAGGAAAGCCTGGGCCCTTGGGACTCTCGGGGCTCCCCGGGAGCGCTGGGGCCGCAAAAGGGCTGGGTTGGACAGGGTGGGGCTCTGGGGCTGAGCTGGAGGCCAGCCAGGGCCAGGGATGGGGAGGGGCTCTGGGGCTGGGGGCTGCCAGGCCGCCCTTGGAAATGCTCCACGGGGCACTAACTGGTACAAGGCCCAGGTAAAGACAGGGATGCCCGGCCTGGAGGGCCGCTCCTGCTGGTGGAGGCCTGCGAGCTGCCACCAGCCCCTGCGGCGGGACCACACCCAGGACGGGAGCCACGGGCCCAGCCACCACCAGGCAGGTGCGGGACCCCCGCGGGCCTGTTGTGGGGCCCCGTGGAGCTGAGCCTGCACACGTGCACGGCAGCTGTTCCCACGGTGGCCGCACGAGGAGGTCCACCCCCCGACCTCGCCAGGCAGCCGCTCACCCTTCAGGCTCCCGGGCGGCGAGCCGCCCCACGTGAATCAGGCTGCCCAGCCAGATGGGGCCCCAGACTTGATGACCTAAGGGCGTTGTCTTTGATTGTGCGCACACATGCGTTGTGCATGTTCCCAGGCTGTCTGCCGGTGGTGCCGGGAGGGCGGCAGCTCTCGGCGCTGGAGCTCTCGGTGCTAACCTCGCCCCTGCTCCCCTGCGCCCCTTCCTCCACAGAGCTCCCACCCGCCCCACCTGGGACGCACCATCCTCTCAGGCCAGCCTACCTGGTACGTCTCCTTGGCATCTTTCTCTGGGCAGCAGTAGATAATCCATCCTGCTCTAAACACCTGTTCACGGCCACCCCTGCCTGTGTGCCCTCCGGGACGGCAGGGCCCATGTCCACTCACTCTGCATACCAGGGCCCTGCCTCGGGGCATCGTCAGAGTTCAAGAAACGTTGAATGAACAAGGGGCCCGATATAGCTGGGGAAGGGCAGGAGTGGGGACGGGGGACGGGCAGGAGGGGCAGGAGTGGGGACGGGGGACGGGCAGGAGGGGCAGGAGTGGGGAGGGGGACGGGCAGGAGCGGGGGATGGGCAGGAGGGGCAGGAGTGGGGACGGGGGATGGGCAGGAGGGGCAGGAGGTGGGCTCAGGCTGCCCGTCCATCCCAAATCCCTGACGGGTTTGATGAGACGCGCACGGAGAGGACAAATGTATGGATACCAAGGGGGAAAGGAGTGGGGTGGGAGGAACTGGGAGACTGGGATTGACACATTTACATTATTGATACTCTGTATAAAATAGACAACTGATGGGAACGCACTGTACAGCACAGGGAACTCTACCTAACGCACTGTGGTAACCTAAATGGGTGGGAAGTCCAAAAGGGAGGGGCTATCTGTACGTGTACGGCTGAGTCATTCTGTTGTGCAGTGGAGGCTAACACAACACTGCAAAGCAACCAGACTCCAATAAAAATTAATTTAAAAAATTAAAAAAAAAAGACCCGGGATGAAAGTCAAAATTCCTGATAATTATCAGAAATTCCTGAAATCATGAATTAGTCTGTATTTGTTCTATAACACTTTATTTCCATGTCTCTGATACTGATTGGTTAAAACAAGTGATAATTTTCTTATGATAGGGTCATGTTAAAAGTTTGGGGGCTTTTTTTTCTTTTTGCGGTACGCGGGCCCCTCACTGCTGTGGCCTCTCCCGTTGCGGAGCACAGGCTCGGACGCGCAGGCTCAGCGGCTATGGCTCGCGGGCCCAGCCGCTCCGCGGCATGTGGAATCCTCCCGGCCCAAGGGCACGAACCTGTGTGCCCTGCATCGGCAGGCGGACTCTCAACCACTGCGCCACCAGGGAAGCCCAGCTTTTCTGTTTTATTTTTATTCTTTTTGGCCGTGCCGCGTGGCTTGTGGGATCTTAGTTCCCCAACCAGGGGTCATTCCAGGCCCTCAGCAGTGAAAGAGCCAGGGAATTCCCTTTTCTGTTTTGAAAACATATAACAATAAATGCTATGATTTAGTTGATTTCTTTTATCATTCTTAAAATACTTGCGCCATTTCTCAGACTCTCTGCATCGTTACAGATCTCTAAAAAGTTCCGTTTAATAAGGAATATTAAGTTTAGCCACACTTACAAGGGTCCACAGCCCACAGCAGACACTCGAACATTCTCGGGGAGTGTTGGGATGACGTGATGCTTGATTGGCCAGCGAGGTTAACACCCGACACTGACCGGGAACCAAAGGTCTCCCAAGTAAACTACTCCTCAACATATCTGGCAGGATTTGAACAGTGTGCTGGGTGTGTGTGTGCTGACTGGTGTGGATTTTATATGCAGGAATGACTCACCACCAGCAGCGCCGGCCCTCTCACCTCTTACACCATGACAGCCGCTTGGAGCAACACCGCCCCATCTCTCCCACACGCCAGCCACAGCCCTGTTTCCCAGATAAGCTGCTCCACCGTCAGCACTTCCAGCTTCTGGCTGGACAGCAGGGGCTTCCCCAGCTGGCGGCGTCTTTGTGTTGATTAGTAAGTTCTAATTCTTGCAGAAGAATTATAGTCCTTTTTCCTGTCGTGCCAGTTTCTCGACTGCTTTCTCTTGGGATTCAGAGATACATGTGTATTTCTTGAGAACTGCCTGGAAGGAAGTTCTTCGATCAGGTTTAGCCACTAGCCGGCCAGGCTCAAGTTGATGAGCAGGTCTCCAGGGCCAGCACCGTGTGGGCGGGCAGCTGGGGCACAGCCGAGTGGCCACAGGGGCTGGGGGGGCCCTTCACCTGGGCCCCTCCTGGCCCAGGGACTAACAGTTCTCCTCTTGGGTTAATCAAACAAGTGGGCACTGAGACATCTATTTGGCACGGGGAGAAAAGAGAGGTTCTATTTAGATTTAACTTTTTAAAACGATATTAAAAATGTAGGCTTTATTGATATTTCACATATAGATCGACTTAAAAAAAACAAATTTGGCTACTTATTAGCACGTTAATTCTTAATTTGGGGACAACACTTTAGCTTAGGTTTTGAAATTGTCAGCAAGGAACGCCTGTCTGCTGCAAGCTTGATGGGGCTTCATGCAGTGTAGATTTTACAGACGCATGTCATGGCGCGCACACCCCTTTTACCCATCGGGGTGTCCGACCCTGGAGGTTTGACCACTGGCCAGACCTTGAGTGGCAGAACACTGCCCCCAGCCCCAGGAGGAGCCACTCCCGTCGCCCGAGGGGCTTTGAGAGCTCAGGGGCTGGGGGGATGCCGCCGGGCCCACCAGGGACCTCAGGCCCACGAGGCCCTGCCCGGCCTGGTACTGGGGCCTCGGTGCCCTGCAGGCTGGTTTTGGCCAGGACTCGCGTGGTGTCCCCGGCTTTGGGGCCACCAACCGGTCCTGCTGAGGCAGCGGGCTCAGGCAGGGCTGACAAAGAGAAAATAAAGTGCTCACTAAAGACCCAGCTTCCCACAGAAGCTGTGAAAAGTGGATGTAATGTCCCCGAGACACACTCTCAGAGGCTCTGCTCTACACGCCGCTCAGGGACAGGGACGTCCCGGGGCTGGTCCTTCCTCTGGGCATCCCTGAGCTCCCCTGCCTCTCCTGCTGTCCTGGCAGCTGGTCCATCTGGAACCTTCGGGGGACCACACTGTCCTTGTTTTTGTTAAGGGCCTTCTTAGGAGAAAGTGCTTTTTGTTTGTTGAGACTTCTCCCCTGGACACGCCCGCGTTTTAGAACAAAAGGACAGTGCTTAACCCAGATGACCAGACCTGGGACAAGCCTGAGGCTTCACCCTCCTGCAGGCTCACGGGGCACCAGGGTGGCGCCAGCTGACCTTTGTGCCCAGCAAGTCCTTCTGTGTCATCAAGGCTGGCGCTGTTCAAGCACCGTGAAAAGACGGCCGGTCGGAAGCAAAGGCAGCCAGTGTCCCCGTTCACAAAATGGGCAGAAACCCGAGACCCACGCGGGACTTGGCCCCTGACAGAATGAGCCAGGGGGAGTAAGCAGTAAATTGAAGTGAACTGTAGGTTTCTGTTAGGCAATCACCTGGAGGGGACATTTGGGAAGCAGGCCCGCTGGACGGTCAGGACCGGCCCCCCGCGCCGCCCCCCAGGCTCTCACTCAGACTCAGAGAGACCATGATGTTCCGGGTCACAGGGCGGCCCTGAACGAAGTGGGGGGAAGCAGGCCTTGCTGCCGGCTCGTGCCGACCCCGGGGAGCGGCCCGGAGCAGGGCAGGAATCCTGAGAAGCCCTTCCGCCCTGCCTGCGGCCCGTCTCTTCTCCCCACCTGCAGGCCTCTCTCTGGGAACCTGGGGCCTCGGGGCCGGGCCCCTCCCAGCCCTGCTCTCTGGGAAACAATGGTCCCTCGGCCCTGAATGGTGCCTCTGTCTCGCCAGACGGCAGACTCAGCTCATCGGCGCAAATGCGTAACCAGCCGCAGCCTCGGGCCTAGCAAGGCAGCCCCACCGGAGGGTTTCCTCCAGGGGCGCCCAGGGGATGCTTCTCCCCCAGAGAAAGTGTGCGGGGGTGGCCGCCTGGGCCTGGGTGGGGAGGGCTTGGGGGCTGGAGCCGTCCTGCCTGTGGGTGGCGGCAGAGCCGGGTGGAGCCCAAGAGAGGGACGGGAGTCAGGCAGGACGTCGGGCAGGGGCCAGAGAGGCACAGGTGTGTCGCCCAGCAGAACTAGCCTTTGAGTCCAGGGCTGTCTGAAAGGGCTTCTGTCCCCAGCGATCGCCCCATCTGCGGGCTCCATGCCTGCCACCCTCCCCGTCAGTCCTGTGGAGCAAGGCCTCAAAGACTGCTGGTGAAAATGGTAACGTGTTCCCAGAACAAAGGTGAGTGCCCAGGGCCCAGCCAGTTACCTGGGGTGCCTGTGGCCAGGAGGGCGTCGCCTGGGTGCCCCAGGGAAAGTTCGGGAGAAAGGCCAGGCCTCCTGGCCTCCGAGCCTCCCAGTGAGGGAGGGGCCC